GCTCTTTGGAGGCAAAAATGATGAGGCTTCTCCTCACATACTTTGGGCATGTTGCTAGGAGGTGCTATTCCTTGGAGAAGGACATGATGCTCAGAAGAGGGGAGGGTTGGCGAAGGAGAGGCAGACCCACAATCAGATGAGTTGGCATGGTGACTGGTGCAATGGGCTCTTGTATGTCAGGAAGGGGGAGGTTGGCTCAGGAGGGAATAGGGTTCAGATCTTTTGTTCATAGGGTCACTGTGAATCTTGCTCAGCTTGAAGACACCTAACAACAATAACAACAATCAAATGCATCTGATTTAAACCATGGGTTTTGAGTTGCTTCATATGGTCCTGAAAGTTGGACAGTCAGAATAAAGATGAAAGTAGAAGAGTCAGTGCTTCTGTTTCTCCTGAATTTTGGTGCTGGAGAAAAGTACCAAATACCCCACAGACTACCAAAAGAACAAACATGGCCTGTCTCAAAGGAAGTCCAGTCAGGGTGCTCCGTAGAGGCAAACATGGTGAAATTTTCTCTCATATACTTTGAGCATATTGTTAGAAAGGACCAGTTCCTGGAAGAAGTCATCATGTTTAAAAAGGTGGAGAGTCGGAGGGAGATAGAAGAAAACCCTTGACAGGATGGACTGACAAAGTGTCTCTAACAGTGGACTCAGACATATTAGAGAACGGGAGGATGGCTCGGGACAGGGCAAGGTTTACATCTCTTTTTCTTAGGGTTGCTGTGAGTGGTAGGCAGCTTCACAACATTAATAACGATGCCAGCAGTGGCTCAAGACAAAATCCTAAAGGCAACATCCTCATCCATCTTAATTGTGTCAGCAGTGTTCTTAGGTTAAAGACAATAATATATGTAAGATCATGTTCTAGACATGCTGGCTTGGCTCAGTGGGCTTTACAATGGACTCAGATGTGCCAGTGATCATGAAGATGGAACAGGACTGGGGGATGTTTTCTTTTTTAGTAGAGCACAAGGTAATTCACAGCAGTTGTCCTTCCTAGAAGCCTCTGCAGAGTCAATGTGTGTCCAGTCAGCACAGACAGGTGAGTCTTATCTCGCCCTTATCTGATATCTGCGGGAGGAGGAACAGAAGGAGGAGGCGTGTGGAGGGGGGAGAGCCTTCCTGACCCAGACGTTGGGTATAAAAGTGCTCGACCATGTGAGAGCAGAATGAACCATGTCCACCCTTGGGATGCTGCTCCCGCTCCTGCTGCTGGTCGCGTCACTCCTGCAGCCAGCATCACTCCTACAGCCAGCGTCACAGCGCTTGTTGAAAAATATTCAAGGGCATGCTCAAAAAGAAAAAGTGCGTATAGCAGATGGGATCCTGTCCTCTCTGAGTGCAGCCACCAGTTGCCTGAAGACGAAGGGGAATCTCTCTATGGAAGACTATACTAGCCTCCGAATTCTGGAAGGTGAGTGGGCTGCCAGTCACACTCTCCTCTGAGTCTAGTGACCATCAGATAGAGGAGAAGTCTGCTCAGGTCACAGAAAGAAACAAATGACTCATATCTCCTGACTGTCCTGGACCTGGGAGGGATGCTTGTGGACTATATATTTTAGATGAATGACTTCAGTTCAACAGGAGGGTAAGAATTGTATGTTGTTATTTCCATAGCATAGGTCATTTGCACTGCTCTGCAACCATGCTACTAACAAGGTAAGGAGCAGAGTGTTTCCTTTCATTGGGCATTTATGGGGTGACCACTCCCGTGGTGGGATGCAGGTGCAGAGAATAGAGACCCTCTGCTTCCAGCGGAAGCCCCCTGTCAGTACTGATAGAAGACGGTAGTGCTTCTTGCACTTTGGAAGATTGAGGATGACTTGGTGTCCCTGCCTTCAGCTGGGTTCTAGGCATGGATTCCCCAAACCACCCATCACCTCTGTGATGTTGGCAGAGTTTGCACATGCTTGGAAACTCAGGGTTCCACAGGAGGTAGGGTTACAGGATAAATCAGCTTCCGTCCCTGGAGCCACACCCTGACTTCACAACCATGTGGGCTCCTCACATTTCCCTCTGTAACCCTCGTATGACAGGCTCCCTTCTAGAGAGCCCCCAAGCTTACATCTGCACCCTCATCAACCAGCATGAACTAGGGTGAGGCAGGAAGGAAGCACTGCACTGTGAGCTGATTCCAACTTTTCCTGTTGGATTTGTAGGAATGTCATGCAGTTACGGGGCCTCTCTCTTTCCTCATCTCTGTATATTCATTTGCTTGTTTAATCTCTTTTCTCTTTCAAAGGAGATTGACTGAAGACACATTCTGTGCAAATACACAATCATTTGTATGGCAAATAAAATCCATTTCCAAATGGAATTGTAATCAATACAGGGTTTAGGATTTAAAACAATATATTTTTGTGGGGCAGCATTACAGCCACTAGTGGTCACAGTGAGAGGAACTGTGAGATCGGATGCACATGTACATTTTGGAGGGAGACGTGATTAAAGCTAATGCAGTAAGTGTTCTAACTACATATTTCTCCTGCACACATGGAAGTTGAACTAATTGTGTTCCCTCCTAGCGTATGTCAGAAGTGTTAAGAAGACATGGGCCAGGAACCCCGCAATGAAGCCAATAAAAAAAAAGATGCAGACGTTCTCCAAGAAGCTGGAGGAGCTTCTCACCACATCCATGTCTGACCTGTTCGAGGCTTTATCTGGCAACCTAGGCGGTAACTACTCACAATAGTAATGCAGTGTGTTACAGCCTCCTCTGAGGCGTGGGATGGTCAGAACCACCTACCACCCTAGACAAATCTAACTGTGGTTTAAGTGTTCCACTCAAACTTGACTCTAGGTTAGAAGGTCCCTCCCTCCCATGTAGTTGTCGTTAGGAATCAACAATTCAAGAGTCCTAGTGACCTGATGAACACCAGATCTGAACCTTGATCTGTCTTGTGCCACTGAGGACACTGTTTGCACTTCCTCCAACAGTGGTTGGCTTGTTGTGTGGGCAGTCCATGGTAATCAGAGTGTCCTTGACAGCACATTGCCAAGTGCACCACGGCTTTTGGTGTTTAGAGTGCTACTAGCATGTTGATGGTGGAGCGAAGTAAAAGGAGCTAGTTGAGAGCGTCAGTCTTTTTCTCTGTCTATCACAGTGTGTCATCATCCCTCCCAAGAGGGTGAAAGAGTGGATGTCAGCTTACTATAGGCTGCTCCCTCCCATGGTTGTGGTCCTCATCCTAGAATAGTGGTTTATACCAGAGTGTGGAAGATCTAGACAGTAATTGAACCACTTCTACTGCAAAGACTAACATCTTGCAATAATGTTTTTTGGTCCCTAAACTACTTGAGTGTCTGTTCTTGTTAGCCTAGGGTATAAGGGTCTACTGTTTAAGGGTCAATCTATAACATAGATAATAGGTTGTATTAATGGCTGACATGGTCCACATTACTAATTCATCAACCTCAGCTCAGGTGACTCCATGGGTAGCAGAGGTAACTGTCATCGATAACACTATAATGTTTGATATGTTAGAAGAAGATTGCAAAGCCTGTATTCTGAGGCTACTTGGGATTAGAATCCACTTCTAGTAACCATTAGCAACACCCACAGATTCTGAAATCCAAGGAGTCAAGTAGTATTTGTAAAATTTCTCCAAGTTCCATGGGATATTACCAATTTTATCTAAGCCAAGAGACCTGGTGGTGCTATATTTTATTGCTCAAATGCCCACTATAAGTTGGAGAACTCAAATCGACTGTGGTATGGTGGAGTTAAAAGTCAGGCCATCTGTTACAGTAAAGATGATCTTTGAATGACAATTCAGGACCATTTTCCTTAGCCCTATAGGCTTGTATTGAGTTGACATTGATTTGGTAACACATGAAACAAGAAAAGTCAAAAGCCTGGTTAAACTCTCTTCTTGATTTTTTTTTTAAATATTTTTTTGAATTTGTTTCTAGAATGATTTGTACCAATGGATTCCCCAAAGTAATGACTTGAAGTCACACAGGCTTGTGGAAGAGCTCAGGGACAGCTTGATGTGGGGCATTAATATAATTACATCTCAATCTCAGAACGTCGAGTGAAGGGGAATTAGCCGGTGCACACTTACATCGGAAACACTCGAGAGCTGCAACTTGCCCCGTGCAGCTTTCTCCCTGAGGCCTGTATCTATTATTAAAGAAGCCCCTTGATTGGATGTATATTTTACACCTTCCCCTGGGTAGTTACTTCTATCTCTTTACATGTTTGTCACTACTTTACATTTTTTCTTTTAGTATCAGAGGTTTTCATCCTGGGAGACTTCTGGAAGGTTCCTCAAGCTTTGACTCGTACCAGTGGCTCAGTGATCCCCAGTGTATTAACCCCCCTAGAACTTCTGAAGGTGAATAACAGCGAGTTATGCATGATAAATCTACTGCAAAACAGGTGGGTTCAGCTGCCTAAACTCATCTTCTATAGATTCCAAAGCACTCTCCTTGGGTTCTGAGTGTCCCCACATCTGAATCCAAAGGTCTATGTAAAACTCAGTCCAGTTGCCCAGGAATCACAGACACTTCTTCCTCCTACC